AACAAGTTTTAAAGTAATTTTCTTTAGAAAGCTATGAGGCTTTGACTAAAGTCTCCTGATCAGCCTTCCTCCTTTGCAAAGTAGTATTTTGCACAGAAAGTTACAACATGCCTAAAGAAGGTTTATGAGTAAACAAATCTCTGTACTAATGAATATTTCCTATTTTCCATAATATTGCCTGAAAAACTGTTTACCAACTTAGCTTATACTACAATGTTTTTATTCATAACTTTCAGCATACAAGTTTAGATAAATATCCAAGCACTTTCCGTGTGACATCAACCGTTCAGCATTTGCTCATACACTTGACCATACATAGTCTTCTTGGAATTAGTTAACAATAGCAGCAGATCTGTCACATAGTGAAACAAGTGTTCTTGTATACTCACGTCAGCTGTAACTACATGCACGAAGCTTTCCTTGTATTTGGGAAAAAAAAAAGCCAAATCCCCCAAATAAAACACATTACCTGCCCTCTCTGGAAAGAACAAGTTGTGTGATTAATGTTTTCACAACATATCAGATCCATAAGCATGTGCTTTGATCTGATACTACACAACCTCAGAGAGACCCTGATGCCCACAGTTACTGACCCCAGGACAAGCATAAGAACCCATCTTTATGAGATCATATGCAAAATCCATTCCTCTTATGTTGACTTTCCTTTAGGTCCTCACCACTCAATATTGCAGCTTAAAACATGAACTTATTCTTACCCCTTAAAGATTCTAGGATGAAAGCAAACACAAATGCTTATAGGATCAAGACACAGGTCTGTAAAACTTCATTTCTTCCCATCAGGTTGTACAGTGTGTATCACAAGTGCTTGCCCTTAACTTCCAGTTTTCAAGGCAATTATGCAACACAACAGCAACAACTGTTAGCTTATAAGAGTAAGCGTTTATTTCAGAGCTATTGTAATTCTGATCCAATACTTGAAGTCTCACATCTACACTAACAGATATTTATAATTTACCTGTGACAGTTTTAGTGTTTTCTTTATCACACTTTGGTGTCTATGCTTTTACACCACAGTCATGACTGCAATTCCTGTTCATCATGAGCTTCTCTTTCATTTGCATTAGTCCTGGCACAGAGCAATTTTATTTTCAAAGGAAGCCACATCTCCCAAGCCTCATATATTTACAGAAAACACAAGCAGGTGGGCAGAGCAACTTTGAAGTTCATGCCTATTGTTGCAAACAAACCCAGTACCCTGATTCATAATGAACTTTAACCAACTGCCTGAGAAACCAGCATCTTCTAAAGGCTCCAGTCTCCCTCTGCCTACGGAAGTGAAAATTGTTTTAGATTGTTTGTTTTCAAGCTCACCAAGCTTGACAATGTTTCATGTCTCTTATTCCACAGATTATTTAAGATTCTTTTTTCTTCCTATTCATCTTGATGACAAACTAGTTTTAATGTCTGTGTTCAGTTTTTCTTCCTTAAAACTTGTACGTTAGTCTGACTCTCCCCATGAGAAACCAGATATTAAACTGAGCGTTTTTATGCAGCCACTGTTTTTGTCAGTATTTGTGCTTTCACAATGCTTAAGAAAAATGATACAGCTACACGTGAAAGCACAAGCTCTCCTTGGAAAAATATTCTGAGTAAAGAGTGAAAACAGATTCAGGATGTGTCAAGAGTAGTGTTTGAGTGTTTTTAGGAGTACTAAAACCAAATTAAAACCTATGTGCCTGTTTTAAATGTAGTTACATCCCAGAATGACTGCAAAATTTCAGTATTATTCAAGAAGCAGAATCCTGACACACTAACACATCAGTAGAGAAAGATGAGGCAGCTTTGCTTTTCACTGAAGGAAAAGGTGACCTTGGCATGAAATTAAGAGCCCCAGGTGACAGTTTCAAGTCTGATTTTGATGGAAAAAATATCTGATCTCAACTACACACAATCCACCAAAATAAGTATTTCATTATTAAAAAGCAAACACTTTGCTCAAAACAAGAAGGAACTTAATATATAGTGAAATTTAAGTCCTGCAGTAAGTTGTAGCAGTCAGTACTCTTAAAGAGCCTGAAAGAGTAGACTGCCAGGAATGAACAAGTTATTATGAAGCCCAGACTTCCATGCTCAGGTTATACTTAAAGTAGCAAGGCAAGCCCTTTTCAGAGATATTGGCTTCTTTTTAACAGCAAAGAACATTTCATGTAAAATCTAAATTTAAACTTGGCCTATGGTATTCAAAACAAGCTCTCAGACTACACTGTTTATTATTCCCCTTCTAACTTCAGCAATTGTAACTGCCTTAACATTAAAGCATTGCATTCCTAATAACTTCATACACAGCAATATTGAGTACTAGTCATATTTCACATTTCCATTCTCATATAGCGAGCAATCTGTAGAGATCAGGTATAGGTTCAAGCATGCTATGTGATTGTTCTTGTAACAGGCAGCCACAATGCAACTGATACCCCCCAAAAATTTAGATTATATTGGCTTTGGTATTACCAATCAGACTATGTGACATGAGACAAATTGAAACTCCACTCCTTTACATCAGGACAGAACTACATCACACTTCCAAGGCAAAACAGTGTTCTTAACTGCATAAAAGAGACCATGTTGAACTGCATTAACAGACTCAGTTGACTAAGACAACTTCGGTCTTAGTTGTGCCGGCTGGCACCCAAGCTCTCCATTGCAACCACCTTCATGCTCCTGATTTTTAGCCAGGGATAATTTTACTGCCAAAGGCAGTCAAAAGTTTAATTTACAGTCTACATTAATGCTCAGAGCTAAATATGGCAGATCCAGGGGAAGCATCATTTGCACTATTCAGATCAAAAGATAAAAAAACCTTTGCCCAAGAAGTAAATAGGAAGGAAGAACTCCACTATCACTCAGTTTGACCTTCTGTAAGTTGCACATAACACAGTAACTTTACAATGCTTTTTATATTCAGGTAGTACTGCTGGGATCAGCTGCTCCCATGCTGCATGCCCAAGCAAGAGGTTGCATTTGGGAAGCAGTTTAAAATACTCTTTTCAAGTAATTTACGTCTTCAAACAAAAGTATGTCTCTTTTGTATGACTCAGCAAGGATTCACTTTGCCCTCTAAAAACACAGCACCTGGTCAAAACCAATATATTACACCTCAAAGAATATGCAGTGACCTGTTTCCCATAGGCTCAGAGCATGAGCTGAGTAAACCCTTGTCAACCACCACATGACATGGATTTGATTGTCAGTAGCATAAATACTTGGTCCCAGCAGCATCTATTGAGGTTTTGCCAGATAAACCCTTTTCCACAGGGGAATCATTTTGTTGGAGGTACAGATGTTCAGGGTGGTTAGTCATTGCTGAACAAAATGCTTGAACAGCTACCTTCCACACACATCTTAAGAGGTTCTATAACAAAGAACTAAGTTTTAGAAGAGCTCAGACATTTCCCTTTCCTTCCCTTAAATTACTACTGGGTAATATGCTCTAGTAATAAAAGCAGTACAGGTAGGATTCAACCTACCATAGTCTCCCATTAGCAGACACCTTGTCTACACTATTTAAGCTATTTCTTGGAATGCTGCAAACTGAAAAGGGTAATTCTTCCCATACAGGCTTTCTTTCTCTCTGCTGTATTTCATCCCAGAATTATACTACAAACTATCTTAAATTAAAGCAGATAATAGTTCAAAAGTTAGTGCAGTTCAATAGACTAATAAACAAGAGGTTATTGGACTGCTAGTTTCATAGCCTGCATAACTTTAGAGTTAGATCAGAGGAAATAAGGAAAAGGAAGAAGTCAGTTTTAGCTGAAGCCAGCCAAGGATCAATGAACACTTTCATCTCCTTCCTTCTGTGATTGCTTCCTACCATCCTCCTACTCACCTAGCACTAACATCCTCTGGTTTTGTTTGCTTTCTTTACAGGGCACTCCACATAGTAAGGCATCATGTTTAGAGCTGCAGACTCAAGTCTTGTCCATCACAACATACAACAGCTATTTCAACACCTCCAGCAACGGACAGAAGTCATATTAAATAAAAACGCTGCTATGTTTAAGAAAGAATATAATTTTAGTAGCTCAGTAAGATCTACGTTGAAAAAATTAAAGACGTTGCCACAGAGCCACAGATGTTGGCTAGACGCTTACCTTTCAACTGAGGCAATGCCACATATACATAAACCCCCCGGTTCACACACTGCTTCCTAGCTTACAGCTCATGTTGACAAGATGTATCAAAAAGCAGCCACAGTAATAACATGTTTCAGAATCCTCTAGGTATACTCAAATGTATCAAAAATATTCAAAGATTGACAAGACAAAATACAGAAGTTGAAGTGAAGCATCATCAGTGCAAAAATTGTAACTCATACAGGCAGTAACTTTAAAGGGTTACTCTAACAGCCGTGACATCCATCATCAGTACTACACTCAGGGGATCATACTCAGCTGGTGGACTTAGCCATTAGATACAGTCAGAACTCAGTTGTCTCAATACATGGTTCAGGGAACAAATAGGAACTAATGTCTCCAAGTATTCAGGAAATAAGCACCAGTACAATACGTCACCTACTTTTTATGTGTGAAGTCTATGCACAGAGATTTCTTTTGTGTTTGCTGTCAGTGAAAAGTATCATGAACAATATCTATTTTCAGGACTGACACCAGACTAAAGGATTCATATCAGCTACCAAAACTGACTTCAGCTGTTACTCACGTCTGTGCTTTTTTTTGTGGACTATCATCAAAGCCTACCACAGATTCTTAAACAGAGGCTGTTAATAAAAAATACATATATACGTGCACTAAATTCATTTATTTCCCTTTAAAAATCATTATACATCATTTTGCTATAAAGCAAGTACAGTTAAACAAAACAAACAATATAAGATTGGTTAAAACAGATATCTTGGAGCTCAAATAAATACCAAGGAAAGATGGCTCTATAGTTTAACTGCCTAAAAGTCACATGCTTTCAAGTTGCAGAAAGTGTCCTGAAAAGGAACTCTACACAATTTCTGTATGCTGACCTACCAGAGTGTGATGGGTCCCATCAACACTAGTGACAGACTTCTGTGTTTTCAGTACATCACCATAATCTGCTGCATCAAAGTTGGTCTTCCACACCATCACCTGAAGAAGAAAGTTTTCTATTAAAATCTTCCATCTGCTTAAAGATTAGTTTTGTCAATGCATCAGAGAAGAGTCAGCAGATGCACACAAAGTTTACCTACAAAAGCTTTGCCATTGATTAAATTAAGAATGTTATTTGTAAATATGCTGCTGAATATAGACATAGCATAACTGAGTTCTCAATGGGCAAGTGATCTCTTCCAACATTCCTTGGGTCAGAAACATCAGGAAACTAGAGCTACCTAGTGAACTTCAAAGCAACATGCAGAATACACAATTAAAATGTCAAATATATTAATACACAATACTTAGTATTATAGCACTTACTAGCCACATCCCCAACAACTGGTCACTGGTTTATCATGAGATTCATTCACAGGAAAAAGCAGGATTAGTACTTTGAGACTAGCATTAGAAACCTTGAGCTAGTCTGTCAGACAGATATCAAACTTAAAATCCACTTATAGTGCATTATGAAGGGAAGATGCCTATTTATTTCAGAAGAGAAGGGAGGCGTCTAACACCTAAACAACTTCAACATATCAAGAGCAAATCTATGGAATAAAATTCTTAGCAGTCGCTTTATAAGTCTAAAAAGGTTTAAAAGCCATCAGTCAACTATTTCAGAAGCCTGAAAGACACCTATGAACCCAGGTAGCTCATCTTGGTTATCAGAAATATGTTTATTCCTCACTTACAAGTTTTCATCCCTGATTTACGTGAAATAAAAAGATTTTTATTCTTTAGTTGCATAGTTAACCAACGAGGACATTCCACTATGAAAACAGAAAAAAGTAATGCTCTTTTGTTGTACAAATTGTCTCTTCACAACTAGCAAAGGTGCTATTACAGCAAAGATGGGCATTGCCAACTAGTCTAATCGGGGGATTAAGAGCAATGCAACACAGCTTAGTGAAGACTGATGACAGAAAAATGAACACTTACTGACACCACTACTGTGGGTTGAAGTCCGTCCACACTTTGTGGGGCAATTCACACAATGTTAAAACCAGTGTATATTTGTACCACAGGGTGTAAGTGGCACCTCCTGATTCCAGCCGGCTCATACAACAGGTCTGTTTGTAGTTCAGTAATTAAGTATAGATTTTTTTAGACAGGCTACACATCTAAATTACCACACAAACCAAAAATAATTCATTTTGACATGTAGATATGTTCTTGGTCATTATTTCTCTTATTTCCCTTGGATTTAGCAAGCTAGTATTCAGGAACTCCATTCCACAGAAAATGCTTCTTGTATATACACAACTGGCAATTTAAGACTAATGCTGGTTTTAATACATATAAATATTGTATGTTAAAGTTCTTTCTCCATGCACAAAAGGAAACACTACCTGAATTTTCAGATAAAAACTTAATAGAGGCAGTTCCTCCACGGGAGCTAAGAACAGCCACCCTTGCCAATGCACTTGTTCAGAAACACACAGCCTTGAGCTGCAATAGAAAGGGCTGCCAAGGAAGTCAGTTATGACCCCACGCCATGAATATGCTTTTACAAAGCACCTTTTGGGAGAGTCATGGCCATCCAGTTTCAGTTTAACAATACCAGGTGATACCTTGCAATGAGCATTAACTTGTTTAAAGAAAACCCAACCATAGGAAAGAGAGGGAGCTGATAAAACAAAAGCCTCTTGAAGGAATCTATTTTACACAGAGAAATGCAGACTAATACATCTTCTTAAGCTAAAAATGAAACAAATAGAAAGTCAGCTTCTTGGCTATGCCTAAAAATAGTAGATAAAACTTCTGAAGTTTTCTATTGAAAATAAGTAACAATGAATTGCTATATATTTGCAACTTCAAGCCACATCAGGTCTTTTAAGAAAGAAAGAAACACAGAAACAATGCAAAAAGGCATATTTCTTGTGTTAGATAAACTTTTCAAGAGCAAACCTTAATCTAGTGATAATATAATTTTAAGACAAAAAACTGGATACACCTCTTCAAAACAGTTTGTTTAAAGCTTTAAATAAAAAATGGTCTTAAAGAAACAGGATGACAAGCTGCACCACCTATCTCAGCAAATCTATAAAATACAGTTAAAATGCAACAGCTTATGAAACTGTCATGAGCTACAACCCTGGGACTGGTTTCCTCCTCAGCAGTATACAACTGAAAGCGTACACTGTTTAGAGAACCCAGCAAGTCATTTTAGCAAGGTCCAGTGGCTTTCCCCAGTGACAACAGAAAACAAAACCCAGCAGCTTTTAAAGAAATGTGAATCTGGATTTTAACTCAGAACCAAAAGTAAAAAGGAAGAGATCTCCCCTCTTGCCCCAACTGCTTCATCCACAAAATTCATTTGCAATACAAACAGCAGTAGAAGACACCCAGGCTCTCAATCCTAGTGTACATGTCAAGGTCAGCAGAGAAAAGTCCAACTCTGACCCAAAAAGCTGTGCAGCTGCAGCATTAGCACAGCTTTGCACCAGGCTCCCGTTAATAAAGAGGCCTCCAGCCTATATCCAAGTCCAGTCAGACTCAGAACCATCTGGTCTCAGTCTCTGGAGATGGCTTAGCCACAGCATCTCAGGTAAGATGTGGCAGGTGCATCTGCCCAATGAGAGCCGAGCTTCTTGGCTGCTGTAGTGTAGCAGCTCAAGGATGCCTTTATTCTCAGGGCCTCGTGGGAATTGGGGCCTTCGGCCAATGGGAGCTGCTATTGACTACAGGTCAGATTTGGCCTGCGTATAAATGGAGTCCCCTGGGGGAGTCATTTTGGACCTCATCCCCTGGAGCAGCAGCTGCAGTTGAGGACTCTCCCCTTGGGTCAGGACACTGTCCAAGGAAATTTCTTGGATGTGTCCAAGGGTGACTTGGGTTGGGTCGCTGCCCTGAGCAGGTCCTCGAGGTTGAGAGCCCTCACTTGTCAGGTGAGTGATAAAGTGTTTTGGGTTGTCTAACCCTAGGTAGCAGGGCTTTGTAAAGCATTTGGGGTTGTCGTTAAACCCCAGGGAGCAGGGCTTTGTTCTGCGTTTTGGGTTGCCATTAAACCCTATAGAGTTCTTTGTTATGTGTTCTGGGTTGTCATTAAACCCTAGAAAACTGTTCTGTTCTCCTCTCACAGTCATTCAAACATGTAATTTACAGAGAGCTGGTTACCTGTGTTAATAATTTTTTTATTTTTGGTGGTTGGTTGTTTATTTGAGAGCATCTGTAACAAAGACCAAGGGGACAGATCTGTGGGGAGGACGACAGCTTTAAGGAATATGAAATACAGAGCACTATAGACCAGTGGAGCCTGGAGGAGTATTCAGGGGAAGCATGCCTGCCTGCTTGTCTAGTCCTTACACTTGTGTCTCAGAACTAGCCAGCGGCAGATCAGGAGACAATCCATCAGCACAGCCTGTGATATTCAAGGTATCTTGACACAGTCATCTGTACACCCATCTAACGTTCCCCAGTAGCACATGCCTCAAGACTTACAACAAGGGCCATACCTAGGGTACTATTTCCTCTGTTGTACATACCCATTCCCATACAATCCAGCTAAAGTGTTTCCTTGGTAAAAAAAAGTCTATGTTCACTTTCTCTCCCTATTTTTATTATTTATTTTCTCTTTGAAAGCAGTAATATATCAAGAAAACAGTAACAAGACACAAAACTATCAAATCAAGCTAGTCAGATACCTGTTCGTCAGATCCTCCAGATGCAAATAAATCTCCAGCTCTTGAAAATGCTACACAGGTAGCTGGCCCCTGTAAACAGATTTAAAACATAAATTTAAAAAAACATGAATGAAAATGAAGTGTTATAAAGCTCCATTTGTTACAGCTTCACAAGGTATTTCTCATTTAACATCAGCAATCTAAAGGCAAAATTAAAAAAACCTCTAATCTGTGAGGTAAGTGGGCCACAATTAACATGCTAAACTTGCTGGCACTTACCATTTCCCACATTTTTGCCCCCACTTTTCAATATCCATGTCATTAAGTCAGAGACATAAACAAACCAAGTTTTACAGCTTCAGGCTTTTCCTTGCTACCTCTCAATCATTCTGTCTTCCCTTTAGAATTAGAAGTTTCTAAAACTCCTGTTAATTTATTAAAAGCAGTGACACTGAGTTGCATTTTGTTAAACGAAGCCTTCAGTCACCTGATGGAAAGGTTTAAAGCAGATAAGGAGGTTTAAACACAGATACACACAGAGCAGCTTCAAAAGACATATTGAGAAAGACTGTTAAATATAAAATACCCCCACTACTGACAATTCTAAGCATTCACAAATAATAAATCATGTCCCATGAAAATATAAGCTTTTTAAAACAAATTTGAGTGATTAATCCACCTGTCAGGCTTCAGATGCCAAGCTGTCACAATCCACATTTTCCAAGGTCCTCCTCACACCATGAATACTAAAACCAAGGAAGGAAAACACACAAAGCCAAGATTTTCATATAATCATGGAACTCCAGGGGCCAGAACTTCAAGCATTACCCAGAATATTCAAGACACTGAAACCACAAGACAAGAAGTTTCATAGACTACTGTGTGCACCAGATACACCATGGAAAATAGTATCTTCTCTCCACACGCTTTTCCAACAGCCTTTCTTTGAAAATACGTAACTGTCACTAAGAGACAGCATAAAACACATGATTGATAATAAAAATAGCCAAAAGGCAGGGCTACAGGCAAGAAGTGAATGAATCGGTTCCATCAAAGGAAAAGGTGGTGGGAGAGTTTGCTTCCTTTTGTTTGGGGTTTATTTGTTTGTTTCTGGAGGGTTTTTTTGTTGTATTGGTTTTGGTTTGGGGGATTTTGTTGGGGGTTGTGTTTTTTGGGTGGGTTTTTTTTGTTTGGTTGGTTTTGGGTGTTGTGGGGTTTTTTTGGTTTTGGGGTTTTTTTTTTTGTTTGTTTTGTTTTGTTTTGTTTTTTACAGTAATCATATACTCTCCTTTATTTCTAGGGTATTCCATACAAACTGCTCACTGCAGAATATCCAAGGCTTGAAGCTCTTGCTTACTGTACCATGATATAACTTCAAAATGTGCTTGACCAGCTATCAACCAAGGCAACCAATTTCTAGCAATTATTTTGACCAAGGCTAGAAGCATTTTAAGCCAAGAAATCTGTACAAGCAAAATAACTGCAACACATAAGATTCAACATTCAGAATCCAATTACTTATTTAATTTGAGACAAGAGTCAAGAAGCCCACAAAGTTTTCAGCACAGGAGGAAGAAAAAGCCAAGGCTACCTGAGGACCACTGGTAAAAACAACAGGTCACTGAATGGCAGACAGAGAAGCATCAGTAGAATATAATGTGTCTGTACATTAGCTTCTATTTACTGTATTCTGTAGTGCTATCTAGAGTTTTGCAGGAGGCAGCTATTCTCTTTGGATAGCAGGACAAAGTCAACCCAGGGGGGTACATCCAAAGGCACCAGGAACAAAACAGAATCGCTGCTTCATATCCCCTTAGCAGTGTGGTATGTGGCCAAGCAATGACAGAGGCTTCAAATCAAACAGGCACCTGCAGCAGCACAGGAGAATGCAAGCAGCAGGCAGGCACTGCTTACAATACCATTATTTGCCATTTTTAAGCTACAGCCTAATGATCTATGCAGGTTTGTGTTAGTTATCAGGTTTGTAACTGAAGAGTAAAAGGCTGGATTCAATTGCTTTTCTCCTAGTTTTACAGAAGGGATGCCAGAATTAATGCACCCGTTATCATTATCATACAGCACAGGTGCTTGCATTCTGAATAAGCCTCACTCTTAAAACAACAATCAGTTCTGAGAGACTTTAAATGCTGCCGACTGCTAAAACACTGCTTGAGTAAAAGCATGCATTTCACACCACACATGTATTTTGTTTTCAGCCTTTCAGAAAGCACACAGGAGAATGTGCATGGAAAGGATGAGGCAGGTGCTCCGAGATGCAGTTAAACAGAGCTTGGAAATTGTTACGTGTGTTCACGTGCAGGCACAACAGACAAACTGTTCTGCTTAGAATAAACAGCTGAGAACCCAGAGAGAGAGGTTTTATGTCAGATACCGAACACTTTACTCTGCAGATGGTCCTAAGCCTGAGCTTTTGCCCAAGCTGAAATGGGCTAGAGGCAGGAATCAGCATTTCCAGAGGCTGCCTATGACCAGGTTTGCTGGGAAAAGCAAGCTGAACTAGTGACAAACTGAAGCCCCCTTGCCCCACCCTAAAGCAAAACAACAGCCACAACCACCACCACCAGAAAACTCCATCCACAAACATACACCACCTGACAGAAGCAGAGTTATCTTCTTTCAAGTAAGATCATTATATATCAGAAGGCAAGTAAGAAGCTTCTCCTCACCCTGTATGAATCAGAATCATCTAGGTTGAAAAAGACCTTGAAGATCACCTAGTCCAACCATTTACCTAACACTGACAGTTCCCAACTACACCATATCCCTAAGCACTACATCAACCTGACTGAAACACCTTCAGGAATGGGGATTCCACCACTGCCCTGGGCAGCCCATTCCAACACCTAACAACCCCTTCTGCAAATAAATGCTTCCTAATATCCAGTCTAAACCTTCCCTGGTGCAACTTGAGGCCATTCCCTCTTGTCCTATCGCTTGCTACTTGGTTAAAGAGACTCATTCCCAGTTATCTTCAACCTCCTTTCAGGTAGTTGAGGAGGCTGAGGGGAGACCTCATTCACCCTCTACTTCTCCAGACTAAACCCCCCCAGTTCCCTAAACCGCTCATCAGACCTGTGCTCCAAACCCTTCACCAGCTCCATTGCCCTTCTCTGGGCACACTCAAGTAATTCAATGTCCTTTTTGTAGTGAGGGGCCCGAAACTGAATGCAGTAATCGAGATGGGGCCTCACCAGTGCCAAGTTCAGAGGCAAGATCCCTTCCCTGTCCCTGCTGGCCACAATGAAGTTGCAAGGATGGACCATTCTATTAAGAGTTCACGTCTTCCCAATGGCCATCACATGGAAATCTCACATTCAGTTTGTTTCTGGTTTTCCTTCTCTCTCTCTCTCCTTCATAAAAGTGAACTCATTATTAATCCTGAGCGTAGACAAATATCCAAATATTGCATCTGAGATAAGCACCCAACTCTCACTGCAACCTGTGTCACACAGTCCTGTGTACTTTCAAATATGCTGGTACAAGGTTATGTCAGCAAAACTAGTTTTGATGTGGTCACTCCTAGCGTGAAGAGTTTTAGCCTCCTTAATACGGAAATACCTTAATGTATTTTATAATTTCATCTGCACTGATTTCAAAAGGTTCTCAGGCCTTCAAATAGCAGCATCTCACCCAAGAGATCTTGCCAGAAGTTATCTAGCAGCATCAATTTAAAAATGCATGCATGATCATTAGTGTGACTGAGCTTGTTTAACTAACACAGCATCAAATAGTGTAGATATTTCAAACCAAGGACAGCACTGTTAATCAGCTGAGACAAAGCATGCTTCTGCCTTCTACCTCCACCTACCTTTCCTAGCAGTTCAGGTCTCTGACCACTACTGTCAGGAAAGGAGACACTCAAAAAAAAGGCAAAAGAAAAAGAAAAATAAGCAGTAAGAAAGGGCAGAAACAAGTACATAGCCAGAAAACTGTACACAAACTGTACACTGGTGAACACTGCCCAAAGGTAATAGAGCTGAGGATACAGAAGCTGCACTTTGCTGTATTAGATCAGTCAGAGTTTGGAGAGAGGAAAAAGCTTTAAGACATTAAGACAAAGTGTTCAGGAACAAGCACAAGTGAGGAATACTGGAGAGGACCAATGTTTCACAAAATTATTTTTATCAACCAAAATATTCCAGTGTATTTAAATAAAATGTAGTACAATACGAATCATATCAAAACAGGCAATGAACTGACTCCAAAGTCATGGCATTCTGAAGGTGAAAAAAGTTCAACAGAACATATTCCTCCCAAAATAGAAAGTGATATCAAAGACTGAATGTGCCTTTATAAACTGAAAGAAGGGGAACAAACAAGTCTATAGACACAACATCCTGTACAGATTTGTTGACATAAATTAAGTGAAAAGTATTTTTGCTACATACACTTACAGCACTCTTCCCGGATATAACAGGTTTGCTATAGCAACATAGAAATAATAGTTTGCCAAACACTGTCACAATATAAACACACACAAAAATAAAGAGCTACACTTGCCAGTGATTAAACACATCCTAACTCCCATTTGTTCCCGGTAAGCATGGCAGAGATCCAACAGATCTCTGATGCAGTCCTGGACAACAGGTACATGGCTGGAGTCTGAAGAATTCAAATCTTTAGATTTTTCCCCACTTTAAACTTACTGCTTGTATTAAAAGTGTCAAAAAGCAGCAGTTGCATATTCTTCCATAAAAGTTGCAGGGAGAATTTTAAGCTTATTTCCCATGCAACTAGAACATGGGGGATGCAGCAGCCTTCTGTAGGATCACTTTATTCCTCTTTCTGTAGCAGGGTACAAATACCCTTCTATCAGTATTCCCTGGGAGTTCAGAATTTCCAGTTCTGCATCCTCATTGTGCTAGGTGCTGCACACGAGCTGCTAGCACCAGTCCCCAAATTCTTACAGCTTCTTGCCTTAAACAGCAAGCTGGAGAAAGAAGGGACTGGACAATGAGCTACACCAAATCAGCAGTAAGGAACATTTATATTTAGTCCTCAGCAGGCCAACAACACCAGGACAGTCAAGCCTTATGCGTGTCAGATTTTGAAGTTATTATAATACTTTT